CAAAGGTTAGGGTCAAGGTTGTCAATTTTGAAATGTAGGTCCAAGGCCAAGGTCAAAGGTTCAGATTTGGTGGTACGCAAAGATAGGAAGGTCTTGTCACAAGGATGAAATATGTAAAGTATAAATGCACTAGTCCTTATCCTTTTAAAATTTTGGTCAAGGTTTGCTTTTTAAAGGTAGGTCAAATTTCAAGGTCAAGGTCAAAGGGTCAAAGTTCTTGGTATCAAATAAGAGAGCTAATCACAAGGACTATATATGTGAAGTATGAAAGCCCTATCCCTTACCGTTCAAATAATTATGGCCAAGGATAAAATTTTTTCACAAGGACAGAAATCTACAAGTTCAAGTTCAAAAAAAGGTCATAATTGTTGTATTCAAATAAAATGTCTTTCCATATAAAATATATATGAAGTATAAATGTCCTTGTATCTACTGTTCAAAAGATTTGGACAAAGAAAAAGTTTGGAAATTTTGTGTAAAAGTGGGTCAAACTACCAGGTCAAAAGGTCAAATTTGGTGGTATCCAAAGAAAGGTCACAAGAAATACGCATGTGAAATGACAAAGTCATAGCTCCACTTAAACAAAAGTCATGGCCAAGGTTAAAGTTTTTGCGGACAAACAAACAGAGGGACAGCTAAACATCTAGACGAAAAAATTATAACCCCCCCCCAAATTTCGTTTACGGGGGCAAAATAGTCGTAATATAAAATAAATTACGAGACTAAGATGTCTCCAAGTCCGATGATTGTTCAATCAATCGCACCTAAACAATCAGAAAACAACCTCGAGGTTTTTTCTTCCGATTTCTTACGTAAATATAAATGTGATGCAATTGTTTATTAACAAGTATCACAAGTGAAAGCTAAACAAAGTTTCGCATAAAATCAAGGAAGGTTTTCCAAAAGAGAAGGGTTTGCCTGCTATTTATAGAAAGTAAACATGTAGTAGATATATTTGAATATCAAACCCGATATTTAGCCGCCCGGGCAATGTACTCTTATTCAGAAATACATATAATAGAATTATAATGCTTTTTTTCCCCAATTTTCTGCGGGCTAGCTAAATAAGTTCCAGGTCTTGTAATATAAATTCCCTTTGACAGTAGGAGGGTCCCTCCAATACCCCTCCCCTGTAAAAATATGAAGGTCTAAATATGGGATCTTCGATGTTAGCCAGACCCCCGGGCAATGTACTCTTATTCAGAAATACATATAATAGAATTATAAGGCTTTTTTTTCAATTTTCTCTGGGCTAGCTAAATGGGTTCCAGGTCTTGTAACATCAATTCTCTTTGACAGTAGGAGGGTCCCTCCAATACCCCTCTCCTGTAAAAATATGAAGGTCTAAATATGGGATCTTCGATGTTAGCCAGACCCCCGCGCAATGAACTCTTAGTCAGAAATACATATAATAGAATTATAAGGCTTTTTTTTCCAATTTTCACCGGGCTAGCTAAATGGGTTCCTGGTCTTGTAACATAAATTCCCTTTGACAGTGGAAGGGTCCCTCCCATACCCCTCCCCTGTAAAAATATGAAGTTCTAAATATGGGATCTTCGATGTTAGCCAGACCCCCGGGCAATGTACTCTTATTCAGAAATACATATAATAGAATTATAATGCTTTTTTTCCAATTTTCTGCGGGCTAGCTAAATGGGTTCCAGGTCTTGTAACATAAATTCCCTTTGACAGTAGGAGGGTCCTTCCAATACCCCTCCCCTGTAAAAATATGAAGGTCTAAATATGGGATCTTTGATGTTAGCCAGACCCCCGGGCAATGTACTCTTATTCAGAAATACATATAATAGAATTATAAGGCTTTTTTTTCAATTTCATCCGGGCTAGCTAAATGGGTTCCCGGTCTTGTAACATAAATTCCCTTTGACAGTAGGAGGGTCCCTCCAATACCCCTCCCCTGTAAAAATATGAAGGTCTAAATATGGGATATTCGATGTTAGCCAGACCCCTGGGCAATGTACTCTTATTCAGAAATACATATAATAGATTTATAAGGCTTTTTTTCCAATTTTCCTTTGACAGTAGGAGGGTCCTTCCAATACCATTCTTCTGTAAAAATATGAAGGGCTAAATATGGGACCTTCGATGTTAGCCAGACCCCCGGGCAATGTACTCTTATTCAGAAATACATATAATAGAATTATAATGCTTTTTTTCCAATTTTCTCCGGGCTAGCTAAACGGGTTCCAGGCCTTGTAACATCAATTCCCTTTGACAGTAGGAGGGTCTTTCCAATACCCCTCCCCTGTAAAAATATGAAAGTCTAAATATGGGATCTTCGATGTTAGCCAGACCCCCGGGCAATGTACTCTTATTCAGAAATACATATAATAGAATTATAAGGCTTTTTTTCAGTTTTCTCTGGGCTAGCTAAATGGGTTCCAGATCTTGTAACATCAATTCTCTTTGAGAGTAGAAGGGTCCCTCCAATACCCCTCTCCTGTAAAAATATGAAGGTCTAAATATGGGATCTTCGATGTTAGCCAGACCCCTGGGCAATGTACTCTTATTCAGAAATACATATAATAGAATTATAAGGCTTTTTTTTCCAATTTTCACCGGGCTAGCTAAATGGGTTCCAGATCTTGTAACATCAATTCTCTTTGACAGTAGGAGGGTCCCTCCAATACCCCTCTCCTGTAAAAATATGAAGGTCTAAATATGGGATCTTCGATGTTAGCCAGACCCCAGGGCAATGTACTCTTATTCAGAAATACATATAATAGAATTATACGGTTTTTTTTCTCCAATTTCCTCCGGGCTAGCTTAATGGGTTCCAGGTCTTGTAACATAAATTCCCTTTGACAGTAGGAGCGTCTCTCCAATACCCCTCCCCTGTAAAAATATGAAGGTCTAAATATGGGATCTTTGATGTTAATTAGACCCAAGGGCAATGTACTCTTATTCAGAAATACATATAATAGAATTATAAGGCTTTTTTCCAATTTTCTTCGGGCTATCTAAATGGGTTCCAGGTCTTGTAACATAAATTCCCTTTGACAGTAGGAGGGTCTTTCCAATTCCCCTCCCCTGTAAAAATATGAAGGTCTAAATATGGGATCTTCGATGTTAGTCAGACCCCCGGGCAATGTACTCTTATTCAGAAATACATATACATGTTGTAATAGAATTATAAGGCTTTTTTTCCAATTTTCTGCGGCCTAGCTAAATTGGTTCCTGGTCTTGTAACATAAATTCCCTTTGACAGTAGGAGGGTCCCTCCAATACCCCTCCCCTGTAAAAATATGAAGGTCTAAATATGGGATCTTCGATGTTAGCCAGACCCCCAGCCAATGTACTCTTATTCAGAAATACATATAATAGAATTATAGAGGTTTTTTTTCAAATTTTCTCCGGGCTAGCTAAATGGGTTCCAGGTCTTGTAACATAAAATCCCTTTGAAAGTAAGAGGGTCCCTCCAATACCCCTCCACTGTACAAATATGAAGGTCTAAATATTGGATCTTCGATGTTAGCCAGCCCCCCGGGCAATATCCTCTACTTATTATAGCATTATACGGGTTTTTTTTTCCAATTTTGACCGGGCTAGCTAAAGATGTTCCCGGCCTTGTAACATAAATTCCTTTTGACAGTGGGAGGGTCCCTCCCATACCCTCCCCCCCCCCCTTGTAAAAATATGAAGATCTGAATATGGGATCCAGGATGTTATCCAGCCCCCCGGGCAATGTCCTCTACTTATTATAGCATTATACGGGTTTTTTTTTCCAATTTTGACAAGGCTAGCTAAATATGTTTCCGGACTTGTAACATGAATTTCTTTTGACAGTGGAAGGGTCCCTCCCATATCCCTCCCCTGTAAAAATATGAAGGTCGAAATATAGTATTCAAGATGTTAGCCAGTCCCCCGGGCAATGTACCCTTATTAAAATTTACATATAATAGAATAATAAGGGTTTTTTTTTAATTTTATCCGGGCTAGCTATATATGTTCCCGGTTTTGTAACATACATTCATTTTGAAAGTCGAAGGGTCCCTCCCATACCCCTCCCCTGTAAAAATATGAAGGTCTAAATATGGATCCAGGATGTTTACCAGACCCCGGGCAATGTACTCTTATTCAAAAAACATAAAATAGAAATAAAAGGGATTTTTCTGAATTTTCTAAGGGCTATAGCTAAATGGGTTCCCGGTCTTGTAAAATAGATTCCATTTGACAGTGGAAGGGTCCCTCCCATACCCCTTCCCCTGTAAAAATTTGAAGATGTACAAATACTTATTATTGTATTCAACAGTTTTTTTTTATCCAATTTTGACCAGGCTAGCTAAATAGTCATCATTTTGAACAGGTTATCTGCATTGGTTTGGGGTCCTCAGTCCTCTTCTTTAAGTGAAGTCTTAGCTTTTCTTCTTAAACACGGATTATGATGCGTTTTTAAAGTTTTTTGAAAAAAAAATTATTAGATCATTTACGGTAATTTGAATAGCGAACCGGTAGACAGCCTGCGGTTCGCCAGTCGAATGGTGAATAGCGAATAGCGAATAACCGTCCAACTTCTGATTGCCAAACCGTGTAGCGTTTCGTGTAAACCGTGCAGCGTTCGTGTATCGTTCGTGCAGCGAGAGTGTGGGGCAGTAGCAAGTCTCAGGGTCTGTAAAAATGCTTTACCAAAAGAATGTACCAAATTTTCATTCTTGTCCAATTTATTGCAACTTGAACTTTACATTGAAGTATATGGGCATCGGATGTTTTTTTTTTTTTCAAAATATAATTGTTAACAGTTATTTAAATTTCAAACAAATCTCTTTGTGAAGACATGCACTAAACTTGTTTGTTATTAAACTTAAACTGAAAATAACTATTCAAAAACTTTTAAGGTGCAAAATGGCCGGCTTCTTACATGTTATCAGTTATGTGAATATGGTTCATTTCACTTTTATTGTTATCCAACAATGCATTTTTAACTAATTTAAAATTATTAAAAATTGTTCAAAATCTCTTCATTATACATTGATTACCTTAAGCGATTAAGAGGACAGAGTCAAAATATCAGAGAAGATACAGACTCCACCAGGGGACTTGAAGTCCATCAACATCTATTCCTTGTTAAAGATGGAGTTTTAGAAGGTAAAAATAATCTCTGATACATTATCATGGGACAGATGAGAGACACAGACCATTTTTCCAATAGAAATGCCCACTTGTGTTAGGCTCAGGTGACTTTGATATCAAATTTATGTTGTTTAAATTTTAAAGAAGGTATTCAAGATATTTTTTATCAAACTTTATATGCTTAACTAGATGAGAATTATTCAGTTTCATAAATTTTATGTTCCCCGAACGAAGTTTGGGAACATATTGTTTTTACTCTGTTTCTTATTACTTTTTCAGCCCGGAGGACAGGGCTGCTCTATACAAATAAGTTAAAATGTTGGTGTACGGTGATTGGGTCGGGAGAAGTTATTCAGCATTCAAGAATTTTTTAGCATTGAAAAGAATGTTAGTCAGAATTTTCTTTCCCTTTCTAAATTACAAGATACATGATACATTTAATTCCATAAATTGAGTATGTAAAAATAAATATGTTTTACATATTTATTATATAAAGTTGCTTATCATTAACTATCGAAAAGACGACAGATCCCTTTATTGATATCATTGACAGCTGCTTTTTCAATAAAAATGGAACTCGTAAATTTACTTACCTCGTTATTTGTCATTTGCAAAATTATTTTGTTAATACAGATTCTGATTGCACACACAAGTACTCTTGAGTTGACATCAAGAAGATGCTTGAGTTTCTTATTGACAATATCTATGTGGTTTTTGGAGACCATGTATTCAAACAATCTATTTGAATTCTCATGGGTACAAATTGCGCTCCATTATTAGCAGACTTATTTTTATATTCATATGAAGCAGAATTTATGCAACATCTTATGCGTGAAAAGAAGAAAACACTTGCTGTGGCCTTCCACTCGACATTTAGATATATCGACGACGTATTGTCAATCAATAATGATAATTTCCATTCTATGTCGATACGATATATCCTGGTGAGCTTGAGATAAAAGATACCACAGAGTCCGACACTTCTGCTTCATACTTGGATATTTTACATGAAAAGACACTAATGGTAATCTAACAACTAAGCTATATGATAAACGTGATGACTTCATCACCTGCATACGGAGTATATATATCTTAGTTGATTCGATACACAAGAGCATGCTCTATGTATGAACAATTTCTTAAACGAGGTAAATTATTGACAAGCAAGTTGATGAAACAAGAATATCGACAGTCTCGTTTAAAGTCATTATTTCGTAAGTTCTATGGTCGATACTATGACCTTGTCAGCAAATACAATTTATCATTGAGTCAAATGCTGACTGACGTTTTTCACACCAATTGTTAGTCCATTATTCATACACTGAATTGACGACGGATTTTTTCCGTTATTTCCTGATCGTGACAACGAGCACACGGCGGGTTTGACCGGTCAGCAGGAGATGATCACTCCTCCATGGCACCTGATCCCACCTCTTTTGTTTCGGAGGTCCGTGTTTGCTCTGCTCTTATTTTGTATATTGGTCAATGGACTTTGAGATTGAATACTGTTCGTTATCTCCATATTCTTGCTTTAGAACATAGAATTTTACTTCTCGAATAAAAATGTACTGAGTCTCTGCATAGTTCATGTTTTATGTTCTAAAATTGAAAATTAATACATTTTAAATAAAGGTGATGCATGTGTATAACTTCAATATATATTTTATGCAGCCAACATTTACATGAGGAATTGATCAACCTTTAAATGGTATCGTTTTTGTTTGATTTTTATCCGACTATAAGTTTTCAAAATATTCGCAACTATCGTCGCCATCAATGAGACGCATGCCTTTTCACACATATCAAAGAGGTTTAATGATCAAGACTCATTTCCACTGTTTACCTTATATATTTCCCAGGCGATAATTGATGATTACATCAATGTTCACTTGTTATTATTATTATTAAGGTCTTCCGTTTCCAACGGAAGACCTTATTGTTTTCGTTCGGTTTCTTTTTCCCTATTATTATTATTAAGGTCTTCCGTCTTCAGCGGAAGACCTTCTTGTTAAGGTCTTTACCTGAAATATAAACATAAAGAAAAAAAGAAGTGTAGAATTCCAAGATCTTTCGAATGATATGTCGATAAAAGGGCTGGCCCCTCAAATTAAGGGCCTTAAGGGGCCGAAAGATTTCCCTTTATAGCGAGCGCAGCGAGCGTCGCGAAGCGACGCTCGCGAAGCGAGCTCAATAGACTAACGTGTAAGAACAGAGGAAATTCGGATTGAAATCTGTACATACGTCAGCCAAATTTCTCTGTGCAACATTTCCAGAATTCCTGCACTACCCAATGTCCTTTGCGCGAATAAATCAAAAATAGTAAAAAAAATAAAGGAACATTGTTTCTTACCGAAATCTTAACGAAATGATTTTGCCTTACCTTATTCAAAAAAATACCCCCATGCCACAACACCGGCCTTCACCTTGCCCTTCGGAAATGATACAAATGACGTCACCGGAAATTTACGAATTTTGACGATATGCTAATTAAGTCATGTCGGTTGCTTCCGTGAAATAGATAAATAAATATACAATAACGTAAAGCATAAAAAGCTTTCAGTTTGTAGAAATCTTTCAAAGAAACAAAAAATAACTCTGCAATTTTTTTCGACCCAAATTGCACTAGGTCTATAGTTTCAAACAGACGCTCGGCTGTCTCCGTAAGCACCGACGAGCTCCGTGACGTCACAGGTAGTCGAGATGTCTCGTGCGGCTTGATGTTTGAAGTGGCTGATCAATTTTTTAGAGTGTTTTTGATGGTACAACTGCGCTCGCCCCAACGGTCACACCGTAAAACATATTAACTCAAAAAGTGTTGAGAATTTGTTATAAGTCAAACAAGAAAAGTTGTTAATAATGTCAAGCTTTATCTACTGGAGTCGTCAAATTGCGTCCGGCGACGTCTCTTCCGGTCAAACCGGAAGTCGTCGAAAATGCATATTTTAACCGTTCTTGATAGGTTTTTGGGTAACATATGTCACTGGAAGCATAAAACTTAAATTTCTGTCCGTCGTCATCACTTCCGGTCAAACCGAAAGTAGCCAAAAATAGCTCAGTTTTGAAGGTTTTGACGCAAAATTGAAATTATAAAATCAATGGAGACGACTTAGCTTATTGCTTTTTTTTTGTTGACGTCACTTCCGGTCAAAACAGGACGGAAGACCTACTCGTTGCTTTGCAACGAGCTTTGCTCTAGTTATTCTTAGTTTCTTTTTCACTTTTATAAGGTCTTCCGTCTTCAGCGGAAGACCCTTCTATTATTCTTCGGTTTCTTTTTCCCCTTTATTATTATTAGGGTCTTCCGTCTTCAGCGGAAGACCCCTCTATTATTCTTATGTTTCTTTTTCAATTTTATTATTATTATAGTGATTCTACTGTTTCTTATTATTAAGGTCTTCCGACTTCCTTCGGAAGACCTTATTGTTTTCCGTCGGTTTCCTATTATTATTATTCTTTTTTCATAGTTATGGCGATATCTCAGCTGTGACTGTACGGATTTCAAAGATTTTTGCAGGAAAGATGCATCAGGTTAATATCTCCAGACGTATTTTTCATTTTTTCAAAATTTGCTTCCATTCGCGATTTCCGGGTAAATATGTATTTTTTAAATGGATTTTTGTACCCTACTTTTCTCGAAAACGGCTAAAGATATGACATTGAAACTCATGAATATGAAAGAGCATCACATGTAGATGTGCAGAACGTCCTTCATTTTTTGTCGTTCCTTCTTCCGGTCGCAAACGGAAGTGAATTCAAAAAGTCTAATTTTTCAACTTTTTTGTTTTTCAATAGTTTTCTTTCGGATTTACAGGGTTTAGAGAGTGTCTTCAAAGCTATCTATATATGTTTTCATTTTTTTCATGCGTGCGTTTATTGCAAAGATATGACGGAACCAAACTTTGTCTTACTGTCGGGGGTTCGAATCCCGCTCGGGGCGTTCCCCAAATTTTTTCTTTGTTTTTGTCTTTTTTCAGTTCCAAATTACTTTTCACTCTTTTATAACATGTGAAGAAGATTTTGCCGATTTTTAAAAGCTTTATTTGGAGATATTTTGTGAAATACCTGGAACAATCAAGATCTGTGTTGAGAAACTATTGTAAATGAACGTAAACGAAAAAAAAATACATTATGAAATCTATTTCATCGGATGACGCAGACTAGATTGCAAAAGAGAAGTCGGTCGGAAGACCTGCTTGTTGCACCAGCAACAAGAACGCATCTAGTTAAGGTCTTCCGACTTCCTTCGGAAGACCTTATTGTTTTCCGTCGGTTTCCTATTATTATTAAGGTCTTTCGACTTCCTTCGGAAGACCTTATTGTTATTCGTCAGTTTCCTATTATTATTAAGGTCTTCCGTTTCCAACGGAAGACCTTATTGTTTTCGTTCGGTTTCTTTTTCTCTATTATTAAGGTCTTCCGTTTCCAACGGAAGACCTTATTGTTTTCTTTCGGTTTCTTTTTCTCTATTATTATTATTATTATTATTCCAACCGATTTTGTGCACGCGATTTCTCGGAAACGGCTCGGCCGATTTACATGAAATTTTCATACATTATAGCTAATCAATTGATCTTGATAGGTTTTTGAGCGTTTTTATGACGTCACTTCCGGTCGTGAGATATGGGGAAATTTCTGATTTTAAAATGCAATTTTGTCTTGATTTAGTAGCGAAAACTGCTTAAGATATGAACTAAAGATTAATTGGAGATGATAGTTCATGATTTATAGCGTTGCAGAATCGCCTTTTCGTGCGTCGTCAGTACTTCCGGTCGATACCGGAAGCGAATTTAAAAAACGCAATTTTTCAACTTTTCTTTTTTAATATTTTTGTATTTGATTTGAATAGAGACCCTTTTGCAGAAGCGAAATATGTAATTTGTTTGAAAATCGAAAAAGCCAATCTTGAGATATTTGCATTTGAAAACGCGAAGCGGCGATCCCAATGGCTAAATGGTTAGCGCGTTGGATTGTCACGCGGGCGACCCGGGTTCGATCCCCCATATGACCAAAAAAATTTATCATTTTTTCTGCTCGACTTTTCGATATTATTTAATTTTAGACCATTTGGAACAATATATTATAAACTTATAAGCATATCTTGCGTAATAAGGGGTCACGAAGGGCCAGAATGTCAAATTTTAGACGCTTTATATCTCGAAAAGGGGAGATATTTTGATAAGCCATATTGAACAAAAAATGACCAGAATAATGTTTTTAACAATATGCATACTTTGAATTTTTGTAAAACGGCCCCATTAAGGACTTGTAGGAGTGGCCCCTAAATATTTCCATATAGCATATCTCCACAACGAAAAAAAATCTCTGAATAAGTGTTGAACAAAAAATCTTCAAAATCACAAGACCTTTCATTTCA